CAAACCTGAATTACACGCTACAGTGGTTAAATTTTTAGCTACGTTCACGCAAGTCATTCTTCTGAAGCGAAGCATTCGTTACATGGTGTGGTGGGCATGCTTCGAGCAACATACCCAGCGCAGCAAGAGAGCTGATCGGAGTCATGGTGATGCTCAGATTGAGATCACCGCCAAGAAGGCGTGTCCAGAGGTTTGAGGGACCACCGCCAGGCGCAAACCCGATGACGAGGAGACCAAACCCAAACCCCGGACTTATTGGAGTTAGTTTTGCCAGCGCAAAGGCAATCTAAAGGATGAAGATGGTACATCATATTCCCTAAATAAGATGCATACGAAATCGCAAGAAAAAACCACGCGTTTCGAAGTTGCTTTTTGACTGCCAGCATTCTCATGCTTCGTAGATTGGTCAACAAGATTTATTTAGGTAGCTAATTTAACTGAATGCCATGGATTTGCAGTTTTAAAATTTTTTTCCTGGCTGTGTTAGCCCTTAGCTCAACTACGTTGCCATTGTCTATGCCGGTATATTAAAAACTTGTATTTCTTAAAAACTCTGTCGTACTTCCTTTTTGTACGTACTAATTCTAGTTTCTTCACCTTTCTGTAACTTGTAGTTTTAACTTTTTCGCTTAAGTTGATGAGAACCTGCTTGCCGCGACACTTTAATTGGTTTGTATGTTAAATCAATAGCGAACATCTTGCTCTTATTGTTTGTCTTCACTAGACCGGGTACGTAGTCGCTTTCTGCATTTCCAGGGTACTGGACTCGGCTTAGCTTGACGTTGTCTTAGCGTGGGATCGCATCATCGATTGCTATTCTCATTAGCTAAATGTTCTCTTCTATTTAACGTAGACACAATACTGGCCCAAGCCTTGATGACATCAGAGCCGTTATGGAATCGATATGGGTCAGACGAGGGCCCTTTTGATCGATAATCCGCACAGCGACCTTTCCTAGAAATGATATAAGGGGCATAGCGCGTCGTTTTGAAGCGACCGCAGTGAGCTTTTGAACTTCTATTGGAGTCCCAAGTCAGAAATAAAAGTGACAATGAAAACAAACAAACAAAACAAGCAAACAAAGCAGTACTAAGGGGCCAAGGGGGGCGCAATCAAACACCCGTAACGACAGTTCGGCTATGACTGCGTATGGCTCTGTACGTCGGCGCCAGATCGATACATCCATTGATTAAGTTCGCATTAGAGGCGACCCAGGCTTCAATTTATTCGCGGCTTGTTACGCTACTGGTGTGGGTGATTATCTTTGTGGCTGTGAGGTTGAACTCGTGATTACTTACTTTAGTGTAGGGCACTAATTGTGGTGATCTGTCATCCCATCCTACAGCACATACGAACATAAGCTAGCTTTAAGATGGGCTAAGGGATTCTCATAATTGGCTGCCCATACCTACGAAATGTGTCCCGAGTTTAACTTCGCAGTCAGAAAGCTCATCGCTTACGCTAGAAAAAAGACAGACCGGGAATTGATTGAAGTCTGGGCCGCCTCCGATGAGAACTCAGTCAATCGATTTATCGATCCGGCGCCGACATACAGAGCTCGGCGCAGTCATCGCCGAACTGGCATTACTGGTGTTTGGTTGATCCCTGTCTCATGTATCTATTATTTGTCTCCTTATTGGCTCCACACCGATGCTAAATATTTTGGGACTACGAGATAGTCCAGTTCAGAAACAGAACGAAGTTTGTAGCATGCTTGTCAAACGCGCTGCGGAAATTGCTCACGAAAGAAAAAGATTAACGTGCCAGAACATACTCTAGGTTAATGCCAAATTGCGAGCGTTTTCCCATGGATTCGTGATTCAGCTAGTGAAGAAAAACTAAATGATAATTAGAGTACCAATAATTAAAAAATGGAATACAAAATTCAGGCCACGGTACCAACCACCATAAATCAGACCACACAGACGATTCATCATTATTGCTGTCATAAAAAAGGAGAGGTCTTGCCCCCAGAGGGGAGCTCACCAAAAGTATCAGTATAAACTGACACAAGAATCCTATCAGAAAGCCAATCGGCTTTTTAAGATGCTCTCGTATGGCCAAATCACAGCCCATCGAAAAGGTAACAGCACACAACAGGATGATTGCTCAAATACGAAATATGCGGTCGAAAATCCCCGTTTTTCGTAGAATTATAACCCTGAAGCCAGATATCAGTAAGGTTTCATAGTCTGCCACGGAGCTCGTTAGTGGAATCCCATAGACGAGAACATACGCCAATCCAAGATGTTCGGGTTTGCATTTAATGGAGAATGTCCGGATGCCCGCTATGTTCGCCGGCAGGGTAGTAAAATTCTGTTGAGGAAGAAACAGTGAAACTGGTCGATCAACTGCGTCGTTACATAGACGACACGTTTGTTATCATCAACAAGAGAATGCTGGAAAACTTCCATAATTTGCTCAATGGGACCCTTCCTGACATACAATTTACGAGGGAAGAACAAAAAGAGCAGCAGCTGCCTGTCCTTGATGTCCTCGTCAATATAACGCCCAACGGTGAAATCGAGACAACGGTTTACAGGAAAGCAACGAACACAGCACCACTTCTCAGTTTTCACAGCATACATGCAGTTGCTCACAAACGGAGCTATGTAAAAACACTCTTCTTACGGATCCAGACTCACTGCAGTAGGCCGGGGGAAACGGTACGCGAGGCACGGTTATCCAAAGGCATTTATAGACCGATGCCTACGTGATCAGCCCCCGAGGATCCAAACAGAAGAACCACAGAGGATATGGCACGCTATGCCATGCATCAAGGACGTCTCAGAAGCGATTGAGCGCATCGCTGCAGGACTAGGCGTTGGAATTGCACACAGACCCAAAGCTACCATACGCAGCAGAGTGATGAAAATAAAAGACTGACTAACGCCGGATGAACAATCTGGAATAGTGTGTCGTATCCCTTACCTAAGCTGCCCTTTTAATTACACAGGCCAAACTGAAAGCATGCTCGGATCGCGCATACATGAACACAAGTTGGTCGTATGACGAGGTGACGAATTATCCCAAGTTGCAGCTCACACCTATGGAACAGGCAATGAGTTCAACATCGCGGCCGTCAAGATACTCGCACACACCGGAAACCAGACAAGCAGGGAATTGATTGAAGCCTGGAATTCAGTCAACCGATGTGTCAACTTGTCGCCGGCGTACAGAGCATTGCGCGATTACGTACAGTCACGGCCAGACGTCCGTCGCAGTTAATTGGGCCCGCATCCTCTATAATCTTCCCATTTTCGTTGCTGACGTGGCCTATTGGGGCCCACGCCAAACAGTTATCAATTTCTACACGGGCAAATTTTAACTGTTTTGTGCACACGTTATGACCAGCCACTCCTTTGTTGCTGTTTCCCTTTCTCTGACGATGGACTCCTGCACGAGTTTGAAAGCTCAGGATAATAAACAAATCAATTCGATGTTCGACTATTCTTTTTCTTTATCGATAGTAGAATACCCTCTCAACTGGCATCCAGTGATGGTCGACGGCGCGTGGTTTTCAGAATCTACTGACGGGGGGAGACGCAGTGAGTAGGATGGGGCTTTATCACAGGGGGTTAAGTAAGTCTAACCGTGCAACTGCGATCTTCAGACCATGG